CCTCGCCCCTCGGCCTCTCCTGCCTGCTTCCCCCAGCCCCTACCTGAGATACATGTGCTGTGGCCATCTGCTGCTCTCCTGTAGCTGAGATGATCATGGCTGGAAGGCGGAGTTGAACTGGAGCCTGCAGGGACAAGAGAAATGGCAGGGGAGCTGTGAGGGAACACAGCAGTCCCTGTCCCAGCCCAGCCCTCCACAGCCCATCTGCAGGGCACTGCCTGGGGGATGGCACAGCAGGCCTTGCACAGGAACACAAGCAGCAACAGCACTGGTAACACTCTGGCTAAAAGATGAACCATCTGAAAGCTGTCTCAAACTGTGGGGCGGAAAGAACTGTCGGCTGACACTCAGTTCAACAGCTGAGGACACACGGACTGTATGCCTAAGACAAAGCATGGCAAGGACTCTGTCATCTTACCCCAAAACAGGGAGCAGCCCAGGTGCCCTTCGAGTTCTCCTGCACAGCAGTGTGCTGCACAACGGGATCTCCCCTCAAGTAGGGATGTCTCTCGAGGTCACACCTGCACACCTGCACCTTGATGCCAAGACTCCTTCCTGACAGAGATATTCTGGAAGAGACTCATGGTTACTTTGGAGCTATCAGAGCTCCTCTGAGGTTATGTCTTAGAGAGACATGATTCCTTCCACAAAAAGCCCTGACCAAGCCTGGGATGAGGACTGGATCCAGCCACTTGCAGGCTCCTTACATCTGTGGTTTGAACAGTTCAGATAGGAAGAGAACTACTCTGAGCCTCGTGACTCAACAGGAAGTTCTCCTGTAGGTGTGTGTGTGTAACCCTATCCTCTATGCAGGAAATAACCAAGTGTATCCAGCCATTGCCAGTCTTGTTTCATCACTGCTAAATCACTACAGCATATCAGAATTACATCAATAAATACAGACCTGCTTCTGCCTTAGGAGTGTATATTATAGATAGTGACAAAGGGGCAAAGCCGTTGGGGGCCATACAAGGATGAGAGTGGAGAGGTGTTATCTGCAAAGTCCCACGTTTGGAAGTTGCATATGAAGCAAAGGAGAACAGAAGTAAACAGCAGCGGAGAACAGAAACTAAAGCAGAGGAGAATAAAGCTAAAGAATCGCAAACAAATCTCCCAAGGAGGAGAAATCAATTTCAGGGAAAAAAAAAAAAAAAAAAAAAAGCCTTACAGCTGGGTGTTCACAAAGACACTGTTCATCAACAGCTTCCTGATATCATCTCCAGTTTAATTGTAGCGATCCAGAAATGAGGTAACAGGGAAGGAAAGTATTTCAGCTCCTGTACTGTCAGGGTCAGCATGGAAAAGAAAACAGCTTCCCAGTTCCCCCATGTACCTCCAGAGAAATGGCAAGGCCTGAACTCAGAACAAAGAGCCCAGAAGGCATCGGCCCCACCTGTCCCAGGAAAATGGAGATCCGTGAATAAGTTCTGACAGCACAAATGCTTACATTCATCCCAATCGGTCTTTAATGATATCTGGCAAAGTCCTTTCCATAAATAATAAGGCACAAATGTCAGGGCCAGCTCTACTCCCTTCTGGGAACCTGAGCATGCACAGGCAGTGGAAACACTGACACGTACTGTGGGAAGAGTATAAGGAAGCTGCCATCCTGTATAGGGATGGGGTCAGGAAAGCCGAGGCCCGGTTTGAACTGAACGTGGCTGGGGATGCCAACAAGAACAAGAAAGGCTTCCACAGGTGCCTCAGCCAGAAAAGGGAAGTCCAGGAGGACATACCAACCTAGTGAGAAACACAGGCAGGCTGGTAACAACAGACAAGAAGGCGGCTGAGGTACTCAACAACTTTTTTCCTCAGACTTCTCTGGTAACTGCCCACTGCACAGCCCTCGGACATTTGGTTGGGTAGGAGGGGATCCGGGAAGCAACGTCCCTCCCACTGTAAGCAAAGATCAGGTTTGTGACCACCTGAGGAGCCTGAACATGCAGAAGTCTATGGGTCCTGATGAGATGCACCGCAGAGTCCTGAGGGAACTGGCTGATGTGGTTGCCACGCCACTCTCTATGAAATTACAAAAGTTGCAGCAATCAGCTGTAAGTCCCTGGTGACTGGAAAAAAGGAAACGTCACACCTCTTTCTAAAAAGGGTAACAGAGATGACCTTGGGAACTACGGACCCATCAGTCTCACCTCTGTGCCGGGGAAGATCATGAAGCAGATCCTCCTGGAAGCAGTGCTAAGGCACAAGGAAAGCAGGGAGGCGGTAGGGGAGAACCAGCACGGCTTCACTAAGGGCAAATCCTGTTTGGCCAAAATAGCAGCCTTCGACAGTGGTGTCACTGCATCAATGGGCAAGAGAAGAGCTACCGATGTCACTTATCTGGACTTCAGCAAGGCCTCTGACACAGTACCCCACAACTTCCTTCTCTCCAAATTGAAGAGAGAGGGATTTCACGGGCAGACAATTCTGTGGATGAAGAACTGGTTGCAGGATCGAATCCAGAGCTGTGGTCACTGGCTCAATGTCCGGACAGAGACCAGTGATGAGTTGTGCCCCACTGGGGTCGGTCCTGGGGCTGATATTCCTCAGTATATATCTTCCTCAGTGACATCAACAGTGGGGTTGAGTGTCCCCTCAGCAAGTTTGCAGGTAGCACCATGCTGTGGTGTGCAGTGACACATCAGAGGAACAGGATGGCTTCCAGAGGGACCAAGGCAGACTTGAGCAGTGGGCCCAGGTGAACCTCACGAGGTTCAGCAACTCTAGTGCAAGGCTCTGCACCTGGGTCAAGGCAGCCCCCATTACCTATACAAGCAGGGGGATTCAAGGATTGAGAGCAGCCCTTCCAAAAAGGACCTGGGGGTACTGGTGGAGCCCAAAAAGCCAACTGTGTCCTGGGCTGCATCAAAAGAAGCGTGGCCAGCAGGGTGAGGGAAGTGATCCTGCACCTCCACTCTGCGGTGATGAGGACACACCTGGAGTACTGCGCCCAGATGTGGAACCCTCTGTACAGGAGGGAGATGGAACTGTTGGAGTGTGTCCACAGAAGGGCCACAAAAATGATTCACAGAGTGGAACACCTCTCCTTGGAGGACAGGCTGAGAGAGCTGGGGCTGTGCAGCCTGGAGAAGAGAAGGCCGCGAGGTGACCTGAGAGTGGCCTTTCAATACCTCAAGGGGAGCTACAGGAAAGAAGGGACAGGCTCTCCAGCAGGGTCTGTGGTGATAGAACAAGCGGAAATGGCTTCAAGCTCAGGGAAGGGAGGTTCAGGTTAGGAATAAGCAAAAAAACTTTGATAGTCAGGGTGGCAAGGCACAGGAAGAGGTTACTTAGCATTATGGTTGATGCCCCATCTCTGGAAACTTTCAAAGAGAAACTGGATCAGGCCCTGGGCAGCCTGATGGAGCTGTGCTGTCCCTGTGCACTGCAGGGAGTTGGACTGGATGGCCTCAGAGCCCCCTTCCAACTCTTAGGATTCTATGATTCCACGGTTCTCCACAAATCAAAAATAAGCGACATACAGCAATACTGCATTGCTGCAGCTGCACAGGGGGGAAGTTCTGATGTCCGATTTAGCTGCAGTTAAAGAAACTGAGCAGTGATAGACGAGAAATGGGAAAGGGAGTTTTATTGGAGGTCTGAGTGGAGAAGCAAGATGAGGAAGTACAACAAGGACAGCCTGTGCCAACCGGGGGATCTTTTGGTTGACTGGAAGCACGCCTAAAGAGGACTGCTACCCAGGAAAGAGCTGCAGAAAACTGTTAGGAAATGGTACGGCCATCCAACAGGAGGTGCAGAGAAATACCTGGATCACTGAAGAACACTGAATGCAGCCCCAGCACACAAACACAGCGAGCCTCAGCGCAGATCATAGAATCACAAGGTTCGAAACGACCTATAAGATCATCTGGTCCTACCATCTTCTATCACCACTGCTACCACCAGCACTAAACCAGATCTCACAGCTCTTCACCCAGGCACCTCTTGAACACTGCCAGGGACGGCGACTCCACGACCTCTCTGGGCAGCCATCCCAGTGCCTGAACACTGTCTGAGAGAAAAAGTTTTTCCTCATATCCGACCTAAGCCTCCTCTGGTACAACTTGCAGCCATTTCCCTGGGTCCTCTTCATTGTCTGGGAGAAGAGGCCAAACCTCTTCACCACAGCCTCCCTTCAGGAAGTTGTACAGTGCAGTGAGGTCTCCCCTGAGCCTCCTCTTCTCCAGACTGAACAATCCCAGCTCCATCAGCTGCTCCTCATAAGACTCGTGCTCCAGACCCCTCACCAGTTTTGTTGCCCTTCTCTGCACACACTCCAGGGCCTCAACGTCTTTCCTGTAGAGAGGAGCCCAAAACTGAACACAGCACTTGAGGTGCGGCCTCACCAGTGCTGAGTAAAGGGGATGACCACCTCCCTGCTCCTGCTGGCCACAGTTTCTCATGCAGGCCAGGATGCTGTTGGCCCTCTTGGCCACCTGAGCACACTGTCTGCTCACGTTCAGCCGAGCATCAACCAACATCCCCAGGTCCTTCTCTTCTTCACACTCATCCAGCCACTCATCCCCAAGCCTATAGCGCTGCATGGGGTTATTGTGGCTGAAGTGCAGGACCCAACACTTGGCCTTGTTAAACCTCATCCCATTCACTTCAAGCCCAGCGATCCAGCTTGTCCAGATCCCTCTGAAGGGCCTCCCTCCATCAACCACTATCCTCTGAGCACAACCCTCCAGCCAGCTCCTTACCCAAAGAAGCGTAAACCTCTTCAGACCATGGGCAGCCAGTTTCCCCACAAGAAGCCTGTGAGAGACCGTGTCAAAGGCTTTGCTGAAGTCTAGGTCGACTACATCAACAGGCCTTCCCTCATCTACCAGACTGCTCACCCAGTCATAGAAGGAGATGAGGTTGGTCAAGCACGACCTGCCTTTCACAAACCCATGCTGGCTGAGCCTGGTCCCCTGGACACCATGCACGTGCCGTGCAATCTCACCCGAGATGATTTGCTCCATAACTTTCTCCGGTATTGAGGCCAGGCTGACAGGCCTGTAGTTCCCCAGATCCTCCTTACGGCCCTTCTCGAAGATGGGAGTCACATCAGCAAGCCTCCAATCCTCCAGGACCTCTCCAGTTAACCAGGAGCATTGATAGATGGCCGAGAGGGGCTCAGCAATCACCCCCGCCAGCTCCCTCAGCACCCAAGGGTGCAGCCCATCCGGTCCCATGGCCTTGTGACAGTCCAGATGGAGGAGGAGCTCTCTGGAGCTCTTCTCTCTGTCTCCACCTGAATCGTTGGGACTATATTCTGAGTAGGGTCCCAGACTTCAGGGCATAAAAAGCCCAGTGGACAACTCATCTGGCTACTAAAGGCAGATGTAAAGAAGGCATTGAGAACCTCAGCCCTCTCCTTGTCCTCAGTGACCACATTCTCTGCTGCATCAAGTATAGAATGAGAAATATCCTTGGTTCCTCTATTGCCGTTGTTATATTTATAAAAGGATTTTTTATTGTCTTTTACTGCAGTGGCAAACCTGAGTTCAAGTTGGGATTTTGCCTTCCTTACTTTCTCCCTGGATACCTTAGCTACTCCTTGGTAATCCCCCCAAGTAGCCTGCCCCTTCTTCCAGAGGACACAGACTCTCTTTTTCTCCCTGAGCCTCACCAGTAATTCCCGGCTCATCCACACTGCTTGTCTTCCCCTATGGCTCACCTTACGGCACTCAGCACAGCCTGTTCTTGTGCCTTTAAGATCTCCGTGGATTGAGGAGCATCCAGGCTTCCCGGACCCTTTTACCCTTGAGAAGCGACTCCCAAGGGATTCATGCTACAAGCGCCCTGAACAGATCAAAGTCCGCCCTCTGGAAGTTCAAGAAAGTGGTTTTGCTGGTCACTCTATTGACGTCTCCAAGAAAGGAGAATTCTACAGTTCCACGGTCACTCTGCCCAAGACGGTCCCCAGCCTTCACTTCTCCCACCAGTCCTTCGCTGTTAGCGAAGACCAGGTCTAGCTGGGCACCAGCCTGGTAGGACCAGCTGCATAAGGCAGCTATCTTCCACACAGTCTAGAAACCTCCCGGACTGCTTCTATGTGCTGTATCCACGTATCCAACACAGATTAGGGAAATCGAAGTCTCCCACGAGAATCCAGATGGCAGCTGCCAGCAGAGCAGCGTGCTGGAGAACCACCTCTGCTGATGTTCTGTACAGCGCGAATGGCGCACTGCGCCGAGACGATCCTCTGCTCTTCCTCCACAGCACCGCGCGGGACGGCAAATGAAAACGCCGCGCCCACGCTGCCACGGGGCGAGGCAGGAAAGGGTGATGTGCTCTGCCCCGCTCGGCCTCACCTGCTCTGCTGGGAAGAGTCGGCCGTTCTCCTGCCGGCGGCTCCGACGGCTCCGTCTGTGCCCAGAGCTGCCCGCAGGGCTGAGCGCCGTCCCGGGATGTGCCGGGAGCAGCAGCCCGGGAGGTGACTCAGCGCCAACGTCGCCGCTCGGAGAGACCAACAGCGCCGGAGAGGAGAGGAAAGGAAAGGAAAAGAAAGGAGAAGAGAGCGAGGCGTGGGAAACACAGAGCAGCGGAGCCCAGCGAAGGCCGAGTCCCGTCCCGCCGGAACGCAGCCGTCCGTGGCCGTGAGGGAAGAGGAGTTCCGGGCTCAGTCGGGCTGCAACGACTGCCTGGGCCGGGCCGCTGGGCGGAGCCGCCGCCGTGACGGCGCGGGGCAGGGGGTGGCCGCAGGACGAGCTGGGCTGGGCTGCGTGCGTGCCGCGCTGTGCGGGGCGGGCGCTGCTGCCGTCTGGGTCAGCGAGCCCGAGGGTGGCAGCGGGAGGCTTTCTGTCGCGAAGGCAGGATTCCCTTTGCCGACTTATATATCGGTTCTTAAATGAACGTACGAATCGCTGTTGCTGAGGAAGCCGACCCGTATCACCAGCACAGCGGGTTTGCTGGGCCAGACGGGCCGCAGCGAGGGGAGCAGCGGCTCCCAGGCGTGTTGCAGCCCGGGTTGTATATCGAGGCGCACAGGAAGGGGTTGGAGCTGGGACAGCGAGGAAGTGAGCAGAG